TTGAAACCAAGTATAGCATTGCAATAGCATTTGAATGGCTACGGCATGGGTTTTCTAATCCATCAGCATTTATGGATAGGGTATCTACTCTGTTGGAGCAATATTAGGTATTGTAGGATAAACTAAGAGCTTTTAGAGCCTATTCTCAGCCAGTCTCTGGGTAGTTGGGTGACCAGATATCTGTATAGCAAATATGTACTCCTAATACAGGTAGTAGGTAGTCCCAAGCATGTACCTATTTTATTTGGGTAACCTATTCAGGGGAAAGAACAGATGACATTATATGGAAGAGACGTAGGAGGGATTTGGGGGGATTAAGTTGAATAAAATTATTGAAGGCAGAAATTCTACCTTTGGGAATGGTCTGAACAAAACAGTGGGGCAAATGTCTGTTGAGGACATGGGGAAGAGATTATTTCACTGGAGGAGAGGCTTCTGTGGGGGAATCTGAGATGTGAGATCTACATTGCTCATCAGAGTTGTGAATGTTTGTTATGATTAAGGGTAATTTGGGGACGGATGCATACATTTAATGCTAAGCTCAGGAATCTAGAGCAACATTTCTGAAACTGAATTCTTGATCCCCCATGAAGTATTAGGTGAAATGTATTCTTTGATCATATAAATATAGGCATTTTACAAACTTTCTGTGGACTTCTCAGAGTCTTGAATTTACTCATGTATATGGTGCATTCCCAGGAAGGAAGGATCATAGCATGCTATGGGTCTCACACTTTGAGCACAGAATCCTTGTTTCCTAGAGAACTCATGAGCAGCTACCCTGTGTGCTAGTTTTGTGTTTTATGCTGTTTGGAAAAGATGGTCTTAAATTGTTCTGTGTTGTGATGAGGCATTAAGAAACATTTCTGAAGTGGGCAGTAATAAGAAAGTATGACCTCTTAAGGCAGCCTGCTGTTTTTAAGTTTAGTAGGCATAGATCTAAGCAGCTAAAATTTTTATTTTATTTATTTATTTTTTCAAAAGATTTTATTTATTCATTTATTTAGAGGGAGAGTGCATGGGAGCAGGAAGAGGGGCAGAGAGAGAGGGAGAGAGAATCTCAAGCAGACTCCCTACTGAGTGTGGAGCCTGATGTGGGGCTTGATCTCAGGACATTGAGGTCAGGACCTGAACTGAAACCAAGAGTTGGATGTTTAACCTACCACCCAAGCACCCCGAAGATTTTTAAAGTACAGAGAGGTCCCAAGATTTTGTGGAATCCCAAAGTCACTTATAGGAACTCATTCCAAGGTATATTTTAAATTTGGGTGGTTTTTTTCTTTTAAGTGCTGAGTTTCTGGCTTCTGCTGTTCTCATTGACACTGAGTTTAAAAGACTCTTTCCTTGTTGTTTGTATTTATTCAACTACATTGGCATTACTTTGGATATTAGGTGCCATTAGAGGGTGTATGGTCTGAAAGAGAGAAACATGGCCACTCATATTTCCTGTTTTATCCCCCACACCCACCATGGTGTTGACGGAAGGACTCATTAGAACCTAGAATAATGGATAAGGGCATGGTGGGGCTATGGTGGTTTCCAGTCTCCAGGAGCTGTTGATAAAGCTTTTAATGCTATTTCCAGCACCCCACTTCTAAAAGTCCATTTGGATTTGTCGTGGTGGAGCCACGTGATCTAATACTTGTGTCCTGTGTTGTCAATTCTTGATTATCACAGGATCATACAAGATTGGATCCAAAAATCATTTCCTCGGGGCGACTGGGTGGCTCAGTCGTTAGGCGTCGGCCTTAAGCTCAGGTCATGATCCCAGCGTCCCGGGATTGAGCCCCACATCGGGCTCCCTGCTCCGCGGGAAGCCTGCTTCTCCATCTCCCACTCCCCCTGCTTGTGTTCCCGCTCTTGCTGTGTCTCTCTCTGTCAAATAAATAAAATCTTTAAAACAAAACAAAACAAAAAATCATTTCCTCTTCTGCCCATATTTGAAATAGAACACATGGAAAATTACATTTCATCAATAAAATCCTTGGTTGCTTTTTTTCTCTGCCTTTTAATAACTATGTTTGGAGGCATTTTCTCCTTTAAGTTTTGAAATAAGGTAGCAAATAAATGTCTTAGATAAACCTAGCCAATTGAGAACATTTGATCCAGAGAAATGTTAGGAGAATCAAAAATACAATTAATTGGATTGTTACTTGTGAAGGGCTTCAGTTAAAATCTATTCTTCACAAATACATGACAACTTTCATTAAAAATTGATGTTTCAACCTGTATGATTATGATCATGTACTGGATCTTGTGTAATTCCTTTAAACTCAGATTTAGACTGCAATCAGGGATGATGGGAGGAAGATTTAGGAGAGTATAAAGTGCAAAATAAATCCTGAAGTTATCTTAGAAGCAACACTGTATTTACTCCAAACTCTACTTTAAAAAGTAGATAAGCATGTCTCTTAGGAGAATCGCTTTTTTCGAGAGTGGATGCTTACAATTTGTCTTTCAGTATAGCTCATTTCATTTTTTTGTCACCCTAAATGGTCAAAAGTTTCTACATCCAAGTGGAATCTTTTTTATTTAAATGGTCTTCAGAAAGTGTGTGTGTGGGGGTGTGTGACTATTTTCGTTTGTTTGTATCTGGTATTCTTGGAGATTTTTTAAATAATCAAAAAACACTTAGGTCACAGACAATGTTTACTGTCTTTAAACAATAGTTTACTTTTTTGTTGTTGTTGTTTTTTTTGTTTTTTAAATGTTTATTTATTCATGAAAGTCAGAGAGAGAGAGAGAGGCAGAGGCAGAGGGAGAAGCAGGCTCCCCGCGGAGCAGGGAGCCTGATGCGGGACTCGATCCCAGGACCCTGGGATCATGACCCGAGCCGAAGGCAGATGCCTAACCATCTGAGCCACCCAGGTGCCCCTTTTTTTTGTTTTTTAAATAGTAGATGTGGTGTTGGCACATGTATTTGAGAAACAGCATAGACAGCATGCAGGTTGAGTGTGGGACACTGGAATCCTACTGCTTAGATCCAAATCTTGACCCCACTACATACTAGGGATGTGATTTGGGGTGACTACCTCGCTTTGTGTCTTGGATTCTCCTTACGTAAAGTGGGACTGGTGATAACAGTACCAACTGCATGTAGTTTTGTGAAGATATTTAAGGGCTTAAAATAGTAAGTACCAAGTACATCATAAACATTAAATAAATGTTGGCCGTTATGACTAAATAAATTAATAAATATTAGACCTCTTTTTATTTAAAATGGTTTTCCTTCTATTTTTGGTGGGCTACTGCAGGCAGAGGAGGAAATGAGACAGAAGAGCAGTACAGTGTTTTTGTGTGTAATATAATGACTTTAATGGGAACATCTTTAACGGGAAGATAGGACTTGATTGTTACATGTGTTTATATGTATTCAGAAACCGTATCATTGCCCTACCAATTAATGACAAGCGCCAGAACCCTCAGTCTCTGTAGTTGTAGAAATGACTTCTAGCTTTGTGTTCCTTACCAGAGGTTGAAAACAACCAAGAGAATATTTGATTTACTTTCCTAGTTTCAGAAACCTTCTTTGGCTCTTTGACCCTGAAGCTCACAATGTTTAGTGTCCTAAGAAACCTTAAAAACATATATGTAAAAGGTTATCATCATTATCAATGTCATGGAGGGGGCAGGCAGTAAAAATACAAGACCATGTACCTGTTGGTGACATTACTTTTATTTATTTTTTTGTCCTGGTGTTAGTGATTAAAATCAAATTATTAGTAGCCATAATTTATTTTCATAGTGGAGTTTCACGGAACTCTACTGGATGTCATTATTGACCATAACATTGAGCTTGATATTTTAGGATGACTTTTGCTTGTTAGATGTTTCTCTTTGAAATATTTTGAGAAGTATATTCTCTGTATAAGCCCACCCTCATCTCTAAAGTATTTCCAAGTTCTTTGGTTTAGGATTTTTCCTGATAGTTTGCCACTAAAATCAGAAGCTGTGATGTGTTTGAGAAGTTCCAAAACCTTTCCATCCCATAGCTTGTACTCATCCTGATGAATCTCGGGCTAGCGGGGGGAGTTGCTTGCATTCTGCCCAGAGACTGGACACTTGAGCATTTTGGTGAGGAGGAGTATAGCCTCCACTGCTGTAGGGCACAAAGGAGTCTTTTTTCTTTTCTTTTCTTTTTTTTTTTTTTGTACCTGGTGGGCATACATTTTCTTTCGCAGATAAATCCATGTCTTTTTTTCCTCTCTTCTTTTTCCAGGTGGTCCGTATTAGTGAACATACTGTTTTTTGTTTTCTCTTTCTAAGATCTACACTTGCTGCTCCAGCAGTGTCTAACTTGATGTCCTCTGCAAATTTAACAAATGTGTCATCTTTTCCATCACCTGGTCAACCCCGGGATCACCACCGAATATCCTTCTCCACCGCTCCAATCCATGGATCTTGATCTCTGTTGTCCATTCCACCAAATGTCCTCAAAAGGGAAAAGGCTAATGGTAAGAATTCTTTTCCGCTCTTCTTTGGTAATTTATTTAAGTGCTGCCAGTGTGAGATTATTCTTATGAGTGGGTAGTATGAGAATAGTTCACAAATGTTGATTTTGAATATTAAAATTTTCTCAATCTTTTTTGGATTCCCTGGTGGTGATGGATCAGGAGGAAGAAGATGAAAGAGCACATGACAGATACCTTTTTCAAATGTGCAAACATTTGTAACATTCTGACCTTTAGATCCCAGCATTCATTGGCTTCTGGCTGTCAGCCCTGGCATGACCCACCAGTACCTTAAACTCAGTATAACTAGAGACTCACTCATTCTGTTCTACTATAACCTTTTCCTTTCAGTCTGGTATTCAGAGGTTGGCATTGTCCTTAATCTGCTGCCCCCATGTTCTACCAATCACTCATTCCCTGTGCGGGTAACTTGTCCTCTAAATATTCACCAATCTGCCACCATCGTCCCACTGTTCTTTTTTTTTTTTTTTTTTAACATTCTTAGTTTATTGATCCTCTGACGAAAAATCTGCACAACCTCCACAGATAAAGCCACTGCAGCATCTTTACTCCTTCTGTTGTCCAATCTCCAGCTCATTTCTTTTTGCCAGCACCAACATTGGCTTTTGCAGTCCCCCTGACTTTCTTCATTCTGTTCTTGCTTTCCTTTCACCGTTTTCTTGATGTCTTTTTCTTCTCATACAGGCCATGTCTTGCATGTCTGTGTTTGGGTTCATTTTTCTTTGCATAATCCAAGGAATCATATATCATGCCAAAGCCGGTTGTCTTGCCACCACCAAAATGGGTTCTGAATCCAAACACAAATATGACATCTGGTGTGCTCTTGTACATTTTGGCTAGTTTTTCCCGAATTTCTGTCTTAGGTACTGTTGCCTTTCCAGGGTGAAGAACGTCAATGACCATCTGTTTCCGCTGAAGTAGTCGGTTAGTCGTGAACTTCCTGGTCCGGATAGTTACTGTGTTGTTCATGATGGCGGCCAAGCTTCAAGCAGCCGGGGAGGAAAAGAGCTCGTCCCACTCTTCTGTCTGCCCTCTATCTTCTCCAACCGTGGCTCATTCAGTCACCTTCTTACTGGGTTGTTAGGTTACTGTGGATATTACACCTTGCCTCCTCCCTCCTGAAATGGATCTTTTTGAGTTTTACATTTTGACTAAAGAGCACATGGCAAGCTTTTTAGCATTTCATGTCTCATTTCCGTAATTATTCCATATCTGGATCCATTGAAGTGTTTGTTTCTAGTCCTGGTCTAGTTCCTGAGTCTGTCCTGATTGAGCCAAGGTACATGTAAATGTTTTTCCATCCCTCTCTTCCATATCCAGTGGGCATTTAAAATTACATGACTATCCTAGGCCAGAAAGTTGGGGGCTCAGTGATTACGTCTGAATTGCTGGATCTCTTATTGTCCCCTTTACTATTCAGACCCAATTCCCTTCCCTTGTGTGTCATTGTTTGGTGGTTATGATTTGCAGTTCTTCCATCCATTTTGTATTGACCCAGTTGGGGCTTTTACCCAGGTCCCATTCCCTAATTTTTGGCCAGTTACTTAGTTTCATTATCTAGCTTTCTTTCCTATGTGGCTTTAGCTTGAACATCAACTTCTTGATAGTTGAGGTGCATTCTATCTGAGGCATTCTTAGCAAGACTGGTAATTGTGATACCCAAAAGCACTTGGAGAGTAACTCCTTGTGCCCTGGTTCTTGCTTCTTATGGTCACTGTAGCAAATTTCTGCAAACTTAGTGGCTTAATACAACAGAAATTTAGGCGTTCGCAGGGTCCGACTCCCAACACGGGCCTATGGGAGAATCTGTTCCTTGTCTTTTCTTTCTTTCTTTTTTTTTTTTTAATTTAAGATTTTTTATTTATTTATTTGACACAGAGAGAGGGCACAAGCAGGGGGAGTGGCAGGCAGAGGGAGAGGGAGAATCAGGCTCCCCGCGGAGCAAGGAGCCCGATGTGGGGCTCGATCCCAGGACCCTGAGATCATGACCTGAGCTGAAGGCAGCCACTTAACGACTGAGCCACCCAGGTGCTCCTGTTCCTTGTCTTTTCTAGCTTCTGATGGCTGCTCACATTCTTTGGCCTGTGCTTGCTTCACACCAGGATCTACCTCCCTGGCCACGCTGTATTCTCCTTTTGCCTCCCTCTTAGGAGCATCCTTGTGAGTACATTTAGGGTTCAGCTGGATAATCCAGAATAGTTTCCCCCATTTCCAGATACGTAACTGCATTTGCAAAGTCTTTGCCATGGAAGGGAACGTGTATAGTTTCCAGGAATTAGGACCTGTTATGTTCGGAGGCCATTATTCAGACTACTACCGTGTCTTTTTTTTTTTTTTTTTAATTTTATTTTATTATGTTATGTTAATCACCATACATTACATCATTAGTTTTTGATGTAGTGTTCCATGATTCATTGTTTGTGTATAACACCCAGTGCTCCATTCAATATGTGCCCTCTTTAATACCCATCACCAGGCTAACCCATCCCCCCACCCCCCTCCCCTCTAGAACCCTCAGTTTGTTTCTCAGATTTCATAGTCTGTCATGGTTCATCTCCCCCTCCTATTTTGCCCCCCTTCATTTTTCCCTTCCTATTGTCCTCTTTTTTTTAACATATAATGTAATAGTTGTCAGGAGTACAGGTCTGTGATTCATCAGTCTTACACAGCACTCACCATAGCACATACCCTCCCCAATGTCTATCACCCAGCCACCCCATCCCTCCCACCCCCCCCAACAACACTCAGTTTGTTTCCTGCGATTAAGAATTCCTGATATCAGTGAGATTGTATGATACTTGTCTTTCTCTGATTGACTTACTTCGCTCAGCATAATACCCTCCAGTTCCATCCATGTGGTTGCAAATGTATATTATATTATGCTGCATAATATTTATTTATTTGACAGAGAGAGAGACAGCGAGAGAGGGAACACAAGCAGGGGGAGTGGAGAGGGAGAAGCTTCCCGCTGAGCAGGGAGCCTGATGCAGGGCTCGATCCCAGGACTCTGGGATCATGACCTGAGCCGAAGGCAGATGCTTAATGACTGAGCCACCCAGGCACCCCCACATCACATCTTCTTTATGCATTGATCTGTTGATGGACATCTTAGGTCTTTCCATGGTTTGGCTATTGTGGACACTGCTGCTATAAACATTGGGGTGCACATATCCCTTTGGATCCCTACATTTGTATCTTCGGGGTAAATACCCAGTACTACCCCGTCTTTTAGCCACCTCATGTGGGCCAGCTCCTTCTGGAAACTGTGCTCCTGACCATCCCTGAGTCATGGTTAAACTTGCCAAGCCCTTTGGCCCTTTGGCTTCTCTGCCCCCTTATCCACCTCACCTGCAACTGGACCATTGGCCTCAGTCTGCGTATATTGAGTTATAGAAAATATCAAGTCCCCTTTCAGAAATACCACCTGTGATGCTCCCTCTCTGTCTCTCCCAGAGGCCTTGCCATTCAGGGCCTCCCAGATGGTCTCCATGGTGCTTTACTTAAGTAGGAGATATCTCGACATTCTGTGAGGTATGGGCTACTGTTGACTTATCCAGAATGCACTTTTCCCTTCTTTTGTACATGGTGAAGTTTTATTCATTTTGTACAGTTGTGTTCAAGTGTCAGATTCCCTGAAACTCCCCCATACCTCTTCCTTCCCTCCTCCATGTGGAATTAATTTCTTCTTCCCCCGTTCTTCCTCTTCCTCATACTTCCTCTGAAGTATGAACACTCCACCATTCATACTTCATTCCAAACCTTACCACATGTATTCTACTTGACTATGTCTATGCGTCCTCCTCGCTAGGTTTTGAGAGCCATGAATAGAATAGTATTCATCTTTTAAAAATTTTAACGTGACACGTGACACACAACGAGTGCTTGACATAATAATACAGAATATGAGAAATACGTGTTTAATCAATTTCGGACTCTTTTAGGATATATAAATATTCAATAGGCTTCTCCCAATTTCCTTATGAATCCTGAAGTAATTGTTTTCTTCATTTGAGCATCTGCTCCTTGTCTTTTCCAGCTTCTGGTGGCTGCTGATGTTCTTTGGCCTGTGGTTGCTCCCCTCCAGTATCTACCTCTTTGATCACTTTGTCTTTGTACCATCCATTTTGGCTTCTGTTTGCAGTACCAGTTGATTAAAAATATTCTAATTTATGCATTCCACACTTAAATATTTATTCACCTTCAGAGGGCCATTACACTTACTCCTCTGTGAAACCAATTTACCTTGATATGAGACTTTACCAAACCTGAAACTGTAGTAAGACACCATTGTCCTGTAGATCTGGGCCTTTAGGTGAGAATTTGGAATTCTGTCTGTCAGGATTGCTTCTTTTAACTTATTGGCGATCTGTCGAAACAAAACCTTATCTTTTTTTTTTTTTTTTTCCTTTCTCTGGATGTTTTGTTTTGTCTGAATAGATCTGAATTGGAGGTATTTTCCCTACCTTTTCCCTGGAAGCTGGAGACAGAATTGCCCATCGCCTTCGTGATTTTAAATGTTATGCCCGGTGAGGTGTCTGCCGCCTAGTATTGCCTGTGTCTGTTTCCTATTCCTATAGCCTTGAGCATCTTAGGACTTCTGTAGAGGGTGCTGGTATTTTACTAAATCGCATGTCTTATATTTATGAGAAACTCAAGGGCTTTGAGGATTTTCTTTTTTGGTATCTAATCTTCTAACTGCTCTCTGAGGTAGGCAGTGTGAAGTGTTATCTCCATTTTGCAGATGTTATAACAGAGGTATAGGACAACTTGATGTAGGCCCCGCGGCAAATCAAGGGCCAAGTGCAAAACGGCTCCCCAACTTTTAGCCTCTACTTTTCTCATCAGGATGCCAGATGACTTAATTTTAATTTTTTACCACCTGTGCCCATTTGGGTTTTGCTTGAAATGTTGGCAGCCCTCCTCGAGTAGCTAGAGCTCCAATTTTCATGTGAAATTTTCTGGCTTTTGTGTCCCTTCTCATTGGTTACATACACACCGGTACTCGTGTGTGCGCGTAATTAAATTACATACTTTCTTTCAGAAGAATTTACATACAAAATCGGGTTCTGCGAAGGGGTTGCTTGGTCTGGGAAGGAAGGGATGCTTGGAGCATTCGTAGTCTGTCTGATACTTTTTGGTCGTCTTTCTCGTCAACTGAGTATGCCTCACTGGCATCAGCTATAACCCTGAAAACATTTCAAAACATAACTCGTGACAATAGGAAATGTATGAAAGTAACAGTAGGTCCTAACAGCAACAAATGTTTCCTATTTAGGTAATTCTTCATGCAAATGACAGGATCCCCAGAGTGGGCTAAGACTGTAACTTTCATAGACTTTTCCTCAAAGGTTAAGCTTTTTCTTTTTTTCACTTAAAGGAGAGTTAATACTTTTTTTTTTTTTAATTTAAAATGCTACTGCTGCAAATGTAAGTTCTTGATGAGATTTGCCTGAGACTTTAAAGGGAATGTCTTGAGGGGCTCTGTGTGCCGTGGAGGGTGTGTGTGGCAAGGCTCCTTTCTTCTGTATGACTGAATTTGGAATTGGTCTTTCACCAAGTGGCATTAATTATGCCATTGCTCCTGGATCACTAAGAGCTGCCTGGCAGGGAAATGTCCCCACAGTTTCTGGAGTCTCTGAGGCACGGTTTCAATTTCTGGCTGTGGAATGATGGTGAGCCAGGCTCCGACCAGCTGCCTTCGGGATCAGCCTTGAGACCCCTCATTTTCCTGAAGCCCCGAGAGGGGATTGGAGCACCTAGTGGGGGATGCGCAGCTTCTGCCACCCCCCACTCTGTCCGCCTTTCCTCCGACCCACCGCACTTCTGAGCACCACCCAGCTGCACCATTTTTGCCTTGAACCCATGTGGAGCGGCTGGGATGGAGGCCACCCAGGGCTTCTGTGAGCGGCTGTGGCTACAGGTCTTCTACTAGCCAGAGCAAAGAAGGTTCTCGCTTATTGGCGCTGAAC